CCACAACAGCCCAAGGAGTAACCACAGCCTGAGGAGCCACTGCTACCCAAGAGGTAGCCCCTGCACAACTAGATGTCTAGATCTGTCAGTGAGAACAAAAATGGGTAGACAAAGAAACCCGCAAAGGAAAGAAAAAGAAAAATCTCCAGAAAAAAAAGCAGCTAAGTGAAATGGAGGTATGCAATATGTCAGAAAAAGAATTCAGAATAAGGGTCATACAGTTCATAAACTGGGTGGATGAAAAAATCTACATCTCTTGTAAGAATAAGAAGAAATGAAGAGTAATATAGATTCAATAAAAAACACCATTGAAAGTTTCAACAGTTGACTAGGAGAAGTAGAGGACTGAATTAGCAAATTAGAAGACAGGGAAGCAAAACATACCCATACTGAACTGCAATTGGAATAAAAAATTAAAATCCAGGAGGAGAGCCTGAAGGAGCTGTGGGAAAACATGAAACAAAGCAACATATGAGTAATAAGGATGCCAGAAAAACAGGAAGAGGAACAAGGGTTAGAAAACCTATTTGAAGAAATAATGTCAAAAAACCTCCCTGCTGTGGGAAAGAAAAAAGTCATACAAGCACACAGAGTCCCAAACAAGATGAACCTGAAAAGACCCACACCTAGACACATCATAATTATGACGGCAAATGTTCAGCACAAAGAGAGAATCTTAAAAGCTGCAAGAGAGAGACAGAAAATTACGTACAAGGGATCTACCATTAGATTCAAATGATTTCTCCACAAAAACACATCAGGCCAGAAAAATATGGAAGTAAATTTACAAAGTGATGAAATGCAAGGGACTGAATCAAAAAATACTCTATCTGGCAAGGTTATCATTCAAAATTGAAGGGGAAATAAAGAGCTTCACAAAACAAAAACAAAAAAACAAAAACAACTAAGGTAATTTATCACCACCAAGCCAGCACTGTAAGAAATGCTAAAGGGACTGGTGTAAAAAGATAAAATAAAAAGATAAGAAGGAAAACAGGCACAAAAAATAAAAATGGCTACAAACAAGTACCTATCAATAATAACTTTAAATGTAAATGGACTAAATGTGCCAATCAAAAGACATTGAGTAGCTAAATCTAAACATCATACTCAATGGGCAAAATCTAAAACCATTTCTTTTAAGATCAGGAATAAGACAGAGATGTTGCTTTCACCACTCTTTTTCCACATGCCTCTCCACTGTTCTTCACG